TTAAGTTGTTGAGTACCAAGAACAGAGTGAGGAGTAGTTGTTTATTGCTTCTTGTTATTCTGTAAGTAGCAGCAAAGAAGATTGGCTCATAGACAGCGGGTGTACTAATCATATGACTCATGATGCTAGTTTTTTTAAGAAACTTGATCAGTCCTACTTGTCAAAAGTCACTATTGGCAATGGAGAAAATGTTGATGTCAAAGGAAAAGGAGTGGTTGTTGTTGAAACTCCTACAGGTACCAAATATATTTCAGATGTTTTATTTGTGCCTAAGTTGAGTCAAAATCTTTTATGTGTAGGGAAAATGCTTAAAAAGAATTATGCTTTGCATTTTGAAAATATGAGATGTACCATATTTGATCCTTATGGATGTGAGCTAATGTCTGTCAAAATAAGAGAGAAAAATTTTCCTTTAGAATGGAAACAAACTATTGAGCAAGCTTTTCCTAGCATAGAAGATGAATCTTCCTTGTGGCATAAGAGGTTTAATCACTTTAGTTACTCAACCTTAAGGCTAATGAAGTTTAATAATTTAGTTCAGAATATGCCTTCTATTCAAGAACATGAAGATGTGTGTGATGTATGTCAATATGGAAAGCAAAACAAACTACCATTTCCTAATGAAGCAAGTTGGAGAGCTACTGAAAAACTACAACTTATACACACTGATATATGTGGCCCAATGAGCTCAACATCCTTAAATGGTAGTAGATATTTTCTCTTATTTGTAGATGACTTTACAAGGATGAGTTGGGTGTTTTTTCTAAAACAGAAATCAGAAGTGTTTGCTGTTTTTCAAAAGTTCAAGTTGGTAGTTGAAAATGAGGCTGGAAGCAAAATAAAAAAAACTCAGATTTGATAATGGAACTGAGTATACAACAGGGGAGTTTCAAAAATTCTGTGCACAAGCAGAAATTTAACAGAAATTAACTGTTCCTTACACCCCTCAGCAAAATGGGGTGAGTGAAAGAAAAAATAGGACCATTATGGAGATGACAAAGTGTTTGCTCTTTGAAAAAGATCTTCCCAAAATCTTTTGGGCAAAGACGGTTAACACCTCTACATACTTGCTGAATATGTTGTTTACCAAAACCTTGAAAGGCAAAACACCTTATGAAGCATGATACGGAAGGAAGCCCTCAGTGAAATATCTCAAAATATTTGGTTGCATATGTTATACTCATATTCCAGAGGTAAAGAGAGGTAAAGAGAGATAAATTGGATCACAAGTCAGAAGTTGGTATTTTCTTGGGGTACTCTAGTAACTCCAAAGGTTATAGGATATACAATCATTTGACAAAGAAGATTCTCATTGGTAGAAATGTAAAGTTTGATGAATTTTCTAGATGGAATTGGGAGAAATGCAAGGTAGAAGCCTTAAGTAAAAACCAGCTTGGAGTAGACACTCTCCAAGAACAATATTCAGAGATTGAACAAGAAGATTTAGATGATGATGATGATGATTTTTCAATTAGATGCACTAAAACTCTTGCTGAAATTTATGAAAGGTGTAACATTGCTGCACTAGAACCTAAAGAATATGATGAAGCAGTTGAAATGGATGGGTGGAGTTGTGCTATGCAGGAGGAGATGAATATGATTGAAAAAAACAAAACTTGGCAACTTGTAGACAAGCCTACTAAACACAAAGTTATTGGTCTTAAGTGGGTTTATAGAACCAAATTGAATCCTAATGGTTCTATAAAAAAACTAAAGGCTAGACTAGTTGTTAAAGGCTATCATCAACAACATGGTGTTGATTTCTCAGATACATTTGCTCTGGTGGCAAGACATGATACAATCAGGTTGCTAGTTGCATTGGCAGCAAAAACAGGTTGAAAAATTTATCACTTTGATGTGAAATCAGCCTTTTTAAAGGTTTACTTGAAGAGGATATATTTGTTGAACAACCTTAAGGCTTTGTTGTTCTAGGGAGTGAAAACAAAGTCTACAAACTTCAAAAAGCTCTTTATGGATTAAAGCAGGCTCCTAAGGCCTAGTATAACAGAATTGATAGTTATCTTCTGCATAAGGGGTTTAAACGAAGTGAAAATGAAGCTACTTTGTATGTGAAAAGATCAAGCAATGAAGTGCAACTCATTTTTTTTCTTATATGTTGATGATTTGCTAGTTATTGGCAATAATTCAGATTCCTTGAGTAGCTTTAAGCATGACATGGCAACTGAATTTGAAATGACTGACTTGGGAGAAATGAATTATGTTCTTGGAATGGGGATTCACCAATGTGATGTTGGAATAGTCATTACACAAAGAAAATATGCTTTGGAAATATTTAAGAAGTTTTCTATGCAGAATTGTAAACCTATAAACACACCCCTTGTTGTTAATGAAAAGTTGTCACTTGATGATGCTCACAACAAAATAGATACTACTACTTATAGAAGCTTAATTGGAAGTTTATTGTATCTTACAGCCACTAGACCAGACTTAATGTTTGTTGTAAGTTTGCTGTCCAGATTTATGCATTCTCCTAATCAAGCTCATTACTGTACAACAAAACGAATATTGTGATATATAAGAGGGACAACTTATGTTTTTCAAAGGATGAAAGTGGTTATCTTCAAGGATATGCAGATAGTGACTGTGCAAGAAGTTTAGATGATGCTAAAAGTACATCAGGTTATGTTTTCTCATTTGATAGTGGAGTTTTCTCTTGGAATTCAAAGAAACAAGATGTGGTGGCTCAATCCACAGCTGAAGCTGAATATATTTCAGCTGCAGCGGCTGCAAATCAAGCCATTTGGCTTAGAAAAATTTTGCATGATTTGAGGGAACTGAATGATGAAGCTACTGTCATATGGGTTGATAACAAGTCAGCCATTGCAATTGCAAAGAATCCTGTCCAGCATGGTAGAACAAAGCACATCAAGGTGAAATATCATGTCATTAGAGAAGCAGAGAAATCAAAGAAAATCAACGTAGAGAATTGTAGTTCAGAGAATCAGATTGTTGATATTATGACCAAAGCACTTTCCAAGAACAAATTTGAATTTCTAAGATCAAAGCTTGGAGTATTCAAGAAAAATCCCAAGGAAGAGTGTTAGAAATTGAGTTTTTTCTAAAATATTTTATGTAACTTCTGATTGCTTTTTGGTTTGGTGAAAATCCTTATTTTGTGGAAGAGTAGGTTGTATGGTCAAATATTAGGTAGAAAAGAGTGGTAGTCCTTATTTTATGGAGATTTACATATCTCTTTTTGTATACAAAAAGAAAACCTTTATGGTATTAATGAACAACCGAGTTTTCTTCCCTTTTGTTAACTGCTGAACTTTGTATCACTCTCAGTTCTTCTTTGTTTTCTAGTTTTATACTACTTTGCTATTTTTTCTGATTTTACAACAGTTACTAGGTTCTTGTTATTAAAGAATACAATATTTAATTACAGCAACTCGTCAATATGGTTGGCTTTAGCATCTATGAAAGTGGTAATTAGATTGTCTTAGGTGGATGTGCCTAACAAGACTTGTCATTATTAAAACCCCCTCCCCTCCCAAACACTTTTTTCATTTCACATTTGTCAATAAGATCATTAGATATGTTACATCTGATGCATATGTGGACCTTTTGAGATTTTGGTGTGTACATGAGAAGGAAAGGTAAATGATTTCTCCTAATTTATATATATATATATATATATATATATATATATTAATGATATGTTTATTGCTATAATTAATGATAAAGAAATAAGAAGATTCAAAGATGAGATGATTAACTTGGAAAATTTGACTTATTTTTTAGATATAGAGTTTGTATGAACAACACAAAATAATTGTTTTACATCAAAAGAAATATCCAATTGATGTGTTGAAGAGATTTTGCATGACTGATTACAATCAAATTACTACACCAACAACAATACATTTGACATTAAAAGTTGAAAATGTTGAGGATAAAAAGGTGGATATACCTCTTTTTAAACAAATAGTTGGTTGTTTAAGGTATTTATGTAATAACAGACCTGATATTTCTTTCTCTTTTAGTTTGATAAACTGATATATGTCTAATCAAAGAAAGAGTCATTTATTGGTAGCCAAGTGAATTTGGAGATATATCAAAGACGCATTAGAGTATGGTATATTGTTCTCTAACAATATGAAACAAATTAAGGGTGAATTGATTGACTATTTACATTTTAACTGGTGTGGTGATAAATCTTGTTATATATTTATAATCTTAGAAGCACCAATTTCATGGTAATCTAAGAACCAAACAATGGTGATTTTATTAATGTGTGAAGCAAAATACATGAAATTTGCATATTGAGATGATGAATCTTATTGTGCATAATAATTTTGTAATTCATCTAGCCTAAAAATCTAGTTTTCCAATAGAAGAACAAACATAGTGTGATAAAGTTTTACTTTTGTGAATCAAGTAACATGAAAATTGTTGGTTCAAAGATTAATTTGCAGATATTTGATATATTGACCAAACCTTTGAAGACTACAAAAACTTTGGGTCAACATGGAAATATTAAAGTTATTTACTATAAAACTTATATATGATTTCTGCATATAATTACTAGGACAGATGGAAGACAAAGATGAAGGTGCTCTTTAAATTTCAAGTGTTACTCGAAATTGTGTATAATGACTACCAAAAACTAGGAAACAAATCAACTAAGGCATAGAGCGTGATGCACGAGGATGCAATGTAAAAAGGTCTTGATTCACCAAAATGTATATGAGAGCATTTTTTATAAAATTTACAATAAAGATAGTGTGAGATTAGGTGTTTCACCAGTGATGAGAAGATAAGAAAGTGAGACTTCAAACATTAAAGAGGGAGTATGAAATGTTACAAATGAAGGAAACTAATAATATAAAATTCACATGTCAAAAAATGATTATCAAAAAGATCATGCACACTCTCAGCAAAATGATGATCATATACAGGTGGTAATTAAGAAGTCCAATGATATAAACACTACGAAAACTGAGGAACTAAATGGATCTTTAGAGGTATAAAAAATAAAATTACTTCAAAGGAATAAGATCAAAGTAGTTGGCCAAGTCTTCCAAACACAAGTTCAGAATGTTTCTACAAGGTGAAAGAGAAAATAAAAGAAATCTTTTAAGAAAAGTTGGAACTCAAATAAAAGAAATTAAGCATAAAGACAAAGTTGAGTCTCATCACTTGGAGTAGTCTCGTTCTTCTTTTCAATTCAAACAAAGAAAACAAAAAGGAAGGAGATGCAGTACTTTATGTGTCACATATTTGAACATATTTATCCATATTGTTGGTTCTAAAAGAGAAAAATAGAAAGAGGAACAATACACAGAGAATCAATAGAAACAAATATAGCAAAAGATAATTCAAATTGAGAACTTTTGATGGTTACTATACTACAAAATGTAATTCATCATCAAAATATGTTTTTTTTTCTACATTGGATGTTCTAATCAAATGACAGAGTATAGAGTATAAGGTGGCTTAATAATTTAGACACATGCAAATTAACAAAAGTGAAACCAATTGATAATAGGACCTTAATTTTTCAGGGAATTGGTAATATTATGATTAAAAAGGAAAGATAGCAAAATGACATTGGATGTGTTATTTGACTGTAATGTAAGACAATTAATTGAAAAAATGATTATTAGTTATTATGCAGGATTATTCTCATAAGTTGTTTGATCTAAAGAAGAAGTTGGTTACTAAGTTCTCGTTATCAAAGAATACAATGTTTAATTACAACAACTCGCCAATATTGTTGGCTTTGACATCTAAGGTTTGGTCATTTAAAATTTAAAAGCATAAGTCAATTAAAATCCAAGAAAGTGATAATTGGATTGTCTTAGATGAATGTGCCTAACAAGACTTTTCAATAGTCATTTAAGAATTTTTGGTTCTCTATGTTATAAACATATTCTTGATGCTAAGAGAAGGAGGTTAGAAGACAAGGGTAAGGCTATGGTTCTAGTTGGCTATCATTCAATTGGTGAATATAGGTTATATAACCTTGTGAAATAGAAAATTGATATAAGAAAAGATATGATTATAGATATAAAAAAAAACCTCATGAAAATGGTAAGAAAGACCTCACAGCAAAATAATTCAAAATGTTTTAGTTCAATTTGATGATAAACATTTTGAATCTAAATAGTAGAGAAGGGAACAAGATGCAGAAGTGATTGAAATTGTAAATATGTGAATCAAATTCAAAGTCCACAAAGAGAGAGAAATATATTTTCCAGATTTTCATATTTTTAGTTATTTAAGCTAATGAAATAACATTTGAAAGAGATTTAATCCATTTTGCATTAATGATTTATGCAAAACTAATTATTTGTAAATTGATTCTACAGAAGGATGAGTAGAAGAAAGTTATGCTTATTGGAAGTAATTAAGAAGAATTGCACTTAGGAGTTGACAAATCTATCGCCTTGCAGGAAAGTTATAGATGTTAGACAGGTATTCAAACTAAAAGTGAATCATAACTCAATAACAAGACACAAAGCAAAGTTGGTGGTGAGAAGATTCAAACAAAAGCTAAGAATGGACTATACTGAAGTTTTTGCTCCAATAATAAGACTTTAAATTATGAGATTGATAACTTGTAGCAATGATTGATCTCTTTAGTATATGGATGTGAAGTCTGTCTCCAAGATTTGATATTACAGGAAAAGAGAAGATGGTATACAAACTAAATAACGTTTTATATGGTCTTAAACTGACACTAGAGTATGGAATAACAAAATTTATTCATTTCTTTTGTGGAATGATTTTTCTAAGTGCTTAATTGGTTATGGTGTGTACATGAGAATGAAAGGTAAATAATTTTTGCTAATTTATCTATATGTTGATTATATGTTTATGGCTATAATTAATGATAAAGAATAAGAAGATTCAAATATGAGATGATGAACTTATAAGATTTGACTTATTTTCTAGATATATAGTTTGTTTGTACAGACAACACAAAGAATTGCTCTACATCAAAAGAAATATCCAACTGATGTACTGAAGAGATTTTGCATGACTGATTACAATCAAATTACTACACCAACAAAAATAAATTTGAGATTAAAAGTTGAAAATGTTGAGGATGAAGAGGTGGACATACCTCTTTTTAAGCAAATTGTTGGTTATTTAAGGTATTTACGTAATAACAGAGACCTGATATTATTTTCTCTGGTAGTTTGATAAACTAATATATGTCTAATTAAAGAAAGAATTATTTGTTGGTAGTCAACTGAATGTTAAGATATCAATATGAATAGGTTGAGCCATTTCATAATAATGAAATAACATCTATAGAATTGTTAATCTATTTTTTTGTATTATGGTTGATCCAAAACCAATTAATTATGAATAGGTTCTACGAAAGGATAAGTGAAAGGTCATGCTTTAAAATTTAAAGGCAATTAAGAATAATTGTATTTTGGAAATTAACATATTTATCCATTCAAATGAAAGTTATAAGATGGGTCTTCAAACTAAAAGTGAATTGATGGCTCAATATCAAAACAAAAAACTAAGTTAGTAGTTGGAGAAAACAAGAGTGAAATTTTTGCTTTAATAATAAGTCTTGAAATTGTGATGAGATTGGTAATAATTTTGTTTAAAAGCAATGATTGATCTCTTTAATATGTAGATACAAAATCTAACATTAAGATTTGAGAGTGTAGGGAAAGAAAATGATTTACAAATTAAATAAGGTTTTATACAATCTTAAACGAGACACTTAGAACCTGAAATTAGAATATTAGTTTTTTTTATGTAATAATCTTTCTAAGTACTTAATTAAATATGGTGTGTATGTTAGAAGGAAGGATAAAGGAATTATCCTAATTTAGGTATATGGTGATGATATACTTATTACTATAAATAATAATAAAAAATAAGAAGATTCAAAATTAATAAAATGATAAAATTAGATGATAGACTTAAGAAATTTGATTTATTTCTCGTATACTAAGTTTGTAAAAACAATATAAAAAATTATTCTACATTAAAGAAATATGCAATTAATGTATTCAAAATATTTTCTTAATTGCAATTCATATAGTACACAAACAAAATTAAATTTAAGATTAAAATTCGAAATTATTCAAGGAAAAAAAAGTGGATCCAATTCTTTTTAAGTAAATATGGATTGTTTGAGGTACTTGTATAAAAATAGAGCTGATATTACTTTTTCTGTTGATTTAATAACCAAATCCAAACAAAGAAAGAGTCATAGTCAAAGACTAATCAGAGTATAGCATATTATTTCCTATCAAGATGAAGCAGATGAAAGATTAATATATTAATTATTCAAATTTTGATTGATGTAATGAATCGCTATATATTTATGTTCTAAAAAATTCCAATTTCATCTATTCTAATAAACATTTGATGCATAATACATCTATAATTGATCAAGTAACATTTGTTTGCTATATATGCCTGATTGATGTATTGAAAAACTTAAAAAAAAAAAAAAAAAAAAAAAAAAAAAAACTACTTCAGATATCATGAGTAATAAGAATCTTGAATTAAAAGAAAATTTTGTCTTCAAAATCCTATTTTCTATTGTAAAAATAGATATTAACTCATTTCTAATTTTTTTTAGTTTATATGTGAATTTGATGTAATTTTTCATAGTGGAAAAGAATAACATGCACAGATTCATTATCAGTGTTTTTACTCTATTTGGTAAAAATCAATTGAGATTATAATTAATTTAATCATATCTATAAAAGTGGATTTTAATGCTGATTTTTCAAATCTTCTTTCATTTTTCTTAAAAACTGATTTTATAGTTACTTGTTATTTATAATTTGAGTAATAATATTTTGACACCATAAAAACTTATTAAATAATCCAATTTTTAAATTTTATGTTATTATTTATTTCTCTTATTTCATTTTCACTGTAAATATTAGTTATCAAAAAAATTTCTTATAATTTTTACTTTTGGTGATATTTCCAATTTAGTAAGTGAAAAAGTTTTATTTACCCGCGTTATAATTATTTTAAATTAACAATATCCAAATATGATATTAATTGTAGATAAAAAAAATGAAAGTAATAAAAAAGTAGTTGATAAATTCAAATAACAAGATTACAATGTCAAGTTTAACAACAAATTTGAAAATAAATATACAAAAGTCACATCGAAAATAATGTAAACCCACAAAAAGAGCATAAAACAAGTTACCGATAAAGGAAACAGCCAAAACAGGGAAGATAATAAAAATACAACAACAGAATTGATGCACCCAGTGACTCAAACTTGAAACAAATCTTCTTATCAATCAACTCAGAATGACAGTCTCGCAGGCATCATCAATTCTTCAGATTGATTCCAATGGCAGGCTCTGAAATCAAACAATAAATTCAATTTAATTCAGTCACGCAAAACATGTCTAATTTGCATACTTCAAATAATAGTCTAATTCAACAATCCTTATAAAAGTAATTTTACATATTAAAAATACCAAAATCAATATAATTTTTAGATTACCTGAAAAATTGGTAGGATTTGTTTCTTCTCCATGACGGAAAATATGAACTCTCAATGAAAATGCTGGTGACTTAATTTGCTCAAAAACACAAACATCCCCTACTTTCAAGTTATTCTCCTTCACAAACTTCCTCCAACCAGTAGTGAGTACTGATTGTCCATTGCTACTATTCACACAAAACTTCACAAGCCAGGTTTTGTCCCCAGAGTCAGAGGTCCCAATAGCAATGCTTTTACCATCAATTCCTACGTGGTCAGTACCAAAACTGGTTGGTATGACCTGTGGTATAACAATTTTTTGGCACAAGTTAGTAGAGAATTAAGTTATTTGCTAGATAAACAAAAATAACAGTTTTGATGTAACCTAGTACCAGCAGTATGTTAATGTATGATGGTTTCATTTCACGAATGAAGAAAGGATTATGAGAGCGGAAAGCCTGTGCTCTCTCTAAAGCACTTTGTCCCTCACTTTGAACAGCATTGGTCATAGATTTTGAGCAGCTACTACTACTACTACTTCCACGTGTGATCCTTATTATATCTGATAACAAATCAATGTAAGACAAAACCACAATGTGACAATATATTCAGCTTTGAAAGAGAAACGAAAGATGGACACAAAGAAACTAATCTCACGGTTAGTTTTAACTTCTTGGCTGCAACTAGGTTCCGTTTTTGGGATGGTTTTCATCTTCTTGGAAGAAAGAGAAAGTTGTAAGGGAGATTTTCCCCTCTTAATCTGGCACATAATATTCCCTTCACCATCTGAAGCTCCTTCCCTCAAAGGGTAAAAAATTTCCCCGCCACTTTGATCAAGTATTGCAACCTCCAACTGTGACTTTCCCAAATATTTGCACACTAACTGATGCTCTAGATCCAAAGAATAAAATTCTGCAAATTTCTTCCAATCATCAACCAACCAAAGATCAGCCTTACTTTTTTTCCATTTCATTTCCCATTTATCACCGTTCGGGAGCACAAAGAGTACAGGGTTGGACATTCCTTCCCACCATCTGCTCACAATCCTTCGAGGAATCCTCTGCCAGAAACTTATTGTCAATATAGCAAATGACATGCATGCATGCACTCAATAATATTTTTGTTCACACAAGTGAAAAGGGAAATAATAACCCTTAGGGTTTCCAAAATCTAAATCCTTGAACAATAAAAGATTTAAAAAAATGCATGAATATGATCATAATGATGAATAAAGATTCAACAAGCCATGCACCAAATAAATATGCATGTAGTTGTAAGCATGCAAGATTTTACTTTGCTTTGTTCTCAGCAAACAGTATGCATGCACATCTTCATGATTTTCATGAATACGAAGAGAGAGGTAGAAGAAGGGTTACCAGTTCCCCACTTTGAAGGGTGTATTCCTCAATCTTCTTGGCAAAGTAAAAGCCACAGTGTCGATCAGAAGGCATGGTTTTGTGATGAACTACAGTTTGCTTCCTGAACAGTGTTTCAGCTCATATATAAAGAATTCTTTCTCTTCAAACATCATCCTACGACGCCTCATTAATAAAAAAATAATAAAAAACATAAAAATATAATTTTTATTATTATTGTATTAATAAAACACTTTAATAACAAATATAAATATAAATTTATAATTATAACTATTATTATATACTACTGAAAATTATTCTTATATATTTTCAATCTATTATTTTCCTTTCTTTTCATCCCAAAACCAATACATTCTATATTTATCGTAATATGCTAATTTTAAAGCAAGTAATGGGTAAGGAGTTAAGTCAAGAAAGAATGATCAATTCTAAAAAGAATAGTCTATATAATATAGAATAATTTTTTTTTTTAACCAATTCACTCATTTGTATTTTATTTTCATCTTATTTAAGTTCACAAATAATTATTTTCATAATTTATCTTTCAACTATTCCATAATCCATTTGCGTCTTAGTATTTGTTCATATTTGTTTCTTAAGGCTTAATTACACAATTAAATATATATATATATATATATATATATATATTATTTATTATTTTTAATAAGTACGATTTTTTTAATATTATCCTTGTCACTTTAACTTTTTTTCATCCAAAATTTTTTACATAAATATATTTTTTTTGAAAAAAAAACAATATTTTTTTAAAAAACAAATTCTTTCTGATTTTCTACCGTTAGGACTGAAACGTAAACGAATTTTAATAATAATATACATAAATAACATTTTTTTATGAAATTAACTAATTTAGTTATTCAATTAAACTTGTTTATTAATTAGTATGCATGTTATTTGATTATTTGAAATAAAAAATTTAAATATAGAAAAAAACACAAAGTCCTCTTCTTCTTGTTCTTCTTTTTTTCTCCTTTTTCACTTTTTATTTTTCTCTCTCATCACATGCTCCCTCCTATTTATCCAGGAGAAGACAACAAATGAAAGAGAAATATTCACCTACACAGAACAAAAGAAAGTTCTTGGGAGTAGGAGAAGAGAGAAGAAATAAGAGAGTGAGAAAGAGATAATCTTTTACGATGAATGAATTATTAATGGATGAAATGAGAAATTAAAAAAAAAAAAAAAAATATATATATATATATATATATATATATATATATATAAAACTAGGTTGGGATTTTTTTTTCTGCTTTTTCCATTAACAATTGTCAAAAATCATAAATAATTTTTTTTCAGTGGTAGAATTTTATGTATAAATAATAAACGGTTTATACAATTATTGTTGTAAAACACAAGTTAACGAATATTAATTGCTCATTTTTCTCCCCTCTCATACAAAAATATAAAATAATAACTTCTCATCTTTCCATAACACTCTCGACCGTTTATATAACCTGTACCCTTAAAGCACGATGTTAATTACTCTCTTTTTTTGCTCTTACACATAGAACAATACAAAATAACAAATATATATTTTTTTCATAATTTTGTTTATTTTTCTCCTAAATGATTTATTCCTTTTCATCTTGCTTTATTATTCTTTCTTTTTACTGTTTTATTTGTCTACTTTATTTGTTTATAGGAAAAAATAATAATAAATTTTTAATTTCCATTAATTATTCTCTACAACATTTAATAATAATGTGATTTTCATACATTTTAATGAAACAGTAGTCTTCTCCTATATAATCTTCAATTATAGTTTTCTTAAAATGTAGATATAAACAGCACTACATTAAAGATTAAAAACACAGAAAAAAATAATAACCAAAATTTATGAAAATTGTAGAGAGAAAATTTGAGAAGTAGATTAATTAACTAATAAAATAAAGAGTAACTAATACTTTTATTATGTGTCTTAATAAGAAAAATAAATAATGTAATCTTGAAATTTATAAATAATAAATAAATAGAAATGTTTTTTAACTGATAATTAAATATAAATACAGTTATGAAAATTTAGTAAAAGATATAACTCAACCCAGAGTATTACTCTAACGTACTAGATGTAATTTATTTTAGATAATAGACAATTAAGATGAAATCTATTTATTTAATTATTTTTAAGTAATTATTTATTTATTAATTTATAAAAATTATTCTTTTGTTTTAAATATAATAAGTTTACCATTTATAATTAGAGGAGAGATAAAAAAATTAGAGAAGAGATAAAAAAGATTGAAAAGAAGAAGAATTTTTAATAAAAATAAAATTAAATATTTTATTATAGGTTAAAATTCGGTTATTATTATTTATATAAGTAACTTTTTTAATTTTAAGTAATTTTTTTATTTTTAAGCAAGTTAAATATAGATTTACAAAAATTATTCTTTTGTTTTAAATATAATAAGTTTACCATTTATAATTAGAGGAGAGATAAAAAAATTAGAGAAGAGATAAAAAAGATTAAAAAGAAGAAGAATTTTTAATAAGAATAAAATTAAATATTTTATTATAGATTAAAATTCGGTTATTATTATTTATATAAGTAACTTTTTTAATTTTAAGTAATTTTTTTTATTGTTAAGCAAGTTAAATATAGATTTATAATAAAATATTATTTTTATTTTTAAATAATTATTTGTAGCAGCTCTTTATAAAAAATATTAGGACCATGATTTATTTCCACGTGTCATAAAATAAAATATTAGGACTATGATTTATTTCCACGTGTCATAAAATAATTGGGTTAAAGATGAGCTTGCTACTGGTTTGCTTTATATACAGTGTATATCATATCATATTAATTAAATAATTTAAAGTTTGAATCTTAATAATATTTGCTGTAAAATAAATTAAATAACGGAAAAGACATTAATTTTATTTTATTAAAATATCAAATTTTAATTTAAAATCAATAAACAATAAGTAAAATATTCAATAAATATTTAAAAAATAGTAATATATTTATAATTGAGTATAAATATACACAATCACTTTTGAAAAATAATTAATACCTTCAGACTGTATCGCATTTTGGTCAGAATCAGGGTCTTCATAAAAAAAAATTGTATATATCTAGTGCACTATGGTCAACTATGTGTATAAAAAAAAAAAATAAAAAGTGAATTTTTTTGGTTTATCAGAACAAAATGCAAATGAATAAAAAATTATAGATATATGTAATTGATTTGATTAATGTAATGAATATTTTTAAGTGATTTTTGGTATAATGTCTAAATTATTTTAATTAATGTTTTTAAGTATAATCATTTTAAAATTAATTATTACATAATTTATTCCCAGATTATTTTTATAAAAATACGTATAATATTCTAACAATTTTGAAATAGTATATGGGAATAATTAATTTTGGTTATTTGTTTATTTTTATGGATGAAAATTTTAAAAGTGGAGAATGAAAGAGAGATTAATGTTTGATGGGTAAAATAGTAATTTACCTTTTATCCTTTCACTCCCCAATAAACTTGTGAAAACAATCACAGCATAATAGAGTAAAAGGTTAATTTTATCTTAATATATATATATATATATATATATATATATATATATTCATTATTTTAAAAATATAAAATACATTCAGTGCTGATTATTTAAGAAAAATTTATTTACATTATAAAAAAAATTAACAAATCTCCCAAAAATATCATACAAATTTAGATTTGTTCTTATTTAAACACTAAAAAATTCTCAATAATTATGATTACCAACACCATTTCTCACAATTTTTGAGCCATTTAAAAATAATAAATAAATTATATAATATCTATATATTAGGATGTACCTCTGATTTCATATTTCGTTATTAGAGATCTTGAAGGAGAGTTTTTTTAACTGAAATTCATAATAACAAAACTACAATTAATACATAAAATTACACAGAATCTTTAATGAACCCATTTATAAAATTATTTAAAAGAAACATATTGAATCAAAATACAATAAATAGCAAAATGCTTATAATTATTAGTAAAAAATAATAATAATGAAAATGACAAGTCGTGCGTTGAAAGATTCATTTACCAAGATATCAGTTTTTTTTTTTTTTCATTTATTCTGCCTCGATTCCTCCTCTCTGCTATGTCTACATCCTATTGAGTCAAATTTGTGTAAAGAAACTGATTGAAAAATCATCTTTTTTTTAATTATCACTTTCTTTAAAAAAAATTTCTATTATTATATCCATTTCATATTTATTTCAATTTATGATTATTAAACCCATAATAAAACAATTTTTAAAATTTTGGTTAAAATAAGAAATAAGGTAATCGAATGGAGACATTCTAGAAAAAGAGTTCACATTTTATTAAAAAAAAAAAAGAACATAAATCATCAATGCAGTTAATTTTTTGGCACTAAGTCATCAAAGCTTCAGAATTCTTCTGCAGATTTTGATCGGTTCGAGGATCCACACTCCCAATGCTTCAGGATAAACCTGTTGTTATGACCTTCTTCTGATTCGTGTGTTGTTTGAATTTTATTTTCTCTTTAATGCATGCGGCAAGTTGAAGGGAAAGTTGGTAGAAGGAACATGGACAAGAACATCGAAACTTGTTCCTTCATTATTGTCTTTTTTTCTAGGTTCAATAGGTTTCACACTGTTCTAGTTCTTGAACAATAAATAGTAGGTTCCAGTAGCTACACATAGGTTAGGTCTGCAAAGTTCAGAAAATATACACCATCGCAGTGTCTTTCATAATTGCACACTGCACCTACTTTTTCAACTAACTTCTTAGTTATTCACGCTTCTCTTTCTTATCTACATCAAACTTAGTATTCGTTGAATCACTTATTCATTTAAATAAACTTTTTTTTTAACAAAATTATATCACTTTATTTGGAAGAAAATTTATCTGCAATATTATAATTATTGTTGGTAAATTTTTTTATTATTTTTGGAATGTCTCTTTTGTAATATATATATTGTATTTAATAAGATATAAACTTTGAAATTTGTTTAATATTATTTTAAGTACAAACAAATAGATATACTCAGACCTCGTGAGTTATCTGAAAGAGAACAACCTGGATCACTG